TGTGGGCACTTACATTAAGATAGCAAGAGCATCATAATTGAATAATGTTTCAACAATCTTTAAGATAGTATTATCAAGTTCTATTTTCTCACCACAAAACTACACAATGCACCATGGTCTAGCAGTATCCTGACACACTCCGCATTACCACTTTCACAGGCATACATCAATGGAGTAAAACCTAAAAATAAACATAATAGAAGCAAAACAAATTATTGTAGACACTAGCTAGACTCTGATTGATCCAAAACAAAGCATATTCTATTATAATAAGAAACATATAGAGGAATACACCACATGTTCTTTGATTTACAAGAACCAGTGTTATAACCCAGTTGAGAGACATAGAGAACACTCAAAATTCATAGATCACTAATCTTTTGCTTGTGATTAAAATTTTTCTTGTGTTAGCCCAATGCCTGAAATACCTTATCAAGCCAGTAAAACAAATGAAAGTGCTTGCATAGAGTAAAATTGTCTTTAATAGCTAATATTTGTACTATACACTTGTACCATTATCATCTGGCTGGTCAATAAGCAATCTTGATCCCTTCAAAAGCTCCCTTAGACAAAAGGAAGTGTCTTTAGTGGGTTCCCATTTGCTTTTGAAATGTGATGCGCATTCCACAGCAAAGTGCAGTATGTTGCCTCCATCATCAGTCTTGAAGGAAATCATATCTGCGCCCATCCTCAACAAGACCTGGACACACTGTGAAAATGAAAAAAACCATACACTATCATGCACACAGAGAACATAAGATAGCAATTAACACAATTTATTAGTACCTCTGTTCATTAAGAGGAAACTAATTTTCAAACTGATCTATAATTGTTTCTGTACAATACATACACATCACAAATAGTTTTATAATTTTTTGCCTATATGCTGTTTGTTTCAAAGTTATTTTCATTGGCAGTTGCTGTTGTTGTCTTTTTTAAACTCATTTAGTACCTTCTTTTAAACGTCAGAGATCTCCTAGCAGCTAAACAATAAAATTACTACCTATAGCATGTAGTTTTCTTTCAGACAACTGTATAAAATGCAAGATACATGTACACTGGCCAAAACCATTTTCCCAAATTTTAAAGAAATTACTTTTGATAAAATGAATATTAAGTTGACTGCTGTGCAGAAAGAACACAATTACAGAGAAAATTAGTGAACAAACATAGAGATAAAAAGTTAAATAAATCTTAAATAGAAATACTATTCACCTCATGTTGTCCAGCATGGACAGCTGCGACCAATGGAACAAACTTCCTGACATCACTCAGTGATAACAGCCTTGTGCATGTTTTCTTGTCTTCATAAAACAAAAGCTCCAGACATTTTGCTCTGTCATAACAATTACATCCATCTCTGCCTTCTCCCACAGCAAAATGCAACAGGTTCATTTCTTGTTTGTTTGTCCTGATACTTTTACTAATGTTCTTAATATTAGCATGCCCAAGCAACAGCCGAACACATTCTGGATGCCCATCCAAAGCATATGCCAATGCAGGCAAGTGATAGTAATCCAGAGCCGTTTGGTCAGCCCCATGCTTCAGTAACAGTTTCACAAGTTCTACTTGGCCTTCTAAAGCAGCCAAATGTAGAGCAGTCCTCTTTCTGAAAGCAATCTCATAAATACAATCCGAATCTTCCTTGATCAGCTTATTGACCAAGGGAACATCATGTTCAAGAATGGCAATGTGAAGGGGTTGATATCTGCTAGACATGGTATCTGTTGTATCATCATTTGCACTATTGTCACTGTCATCCTCTATCTTAATCCGTTTCCAAGTTGGCTCTTTCTTTACTGTTTTCTTTTTCCTTCTTTTTCGTCTACTTGAAAAGGGATTTCCACCTACACAGATCCCTGTTGTATCCTGATTTTGTGTTCCATTGTCATCCTTATCATGTTGCTTGCCTGCAAATGTATCCAAGAGCTTGAGAAATTGTGATGCACCATCAGAGTTCATGCCCTCATCAGATGTCTCAACATCCTTGACAATGAAATCTCTGTCATCACCATCCTCATCCTCATCTATCTCATTACTGAGCTGTGCAAAACATGCTGCAGCCACCTTAAGGGGATCTTGATCATTATGAGCACTAGATGTGGGAGTACAACTGTCACTACTGGACAAATCATCATTGCTAAGCAAATCACCATCATCATCATCCTCAGTCAAAAGTCTCTTCGCAAGTCTTTCTTTTGGATCCAGTTTAGCTTTTTGCCTTTTCTTTAATAAACCACCAAACATTTTATGATTTTTAACTTCCTGTTTCTGTATGAGCCTTTTCACTCTTTGTGAACGGGGCCTCAAGATTTCAGCCTTATGTGGAGATTCACTTGAACAGATGTTATCAGTTTCAGAATCTTCACTACTATCATTGCTTTCTTTAGATTCATTTCTCTTATTTCCTGAAGAATTGTCTTCATCAGAGTCACTAAACTTATTAAGCTTTCTTCTTTTGTTTTTTGTTTTGTGTTTATTCACAATGCCTCTGTTTGACTCAACAAAATTTGGATTATTAACAGCCTCATCATTATGGTCTTTTTCTTCCTCTGAGCTATCAAGCAGTATTTTCCTTTTCTCCTCTGTTTTGGTTTCCTTTTCTTCCTCGGAGCTATCAAGTATTCTTTTCTTTTTCCTCTCTATTTTGCTTTCTTTGACTCTACAGATTCCAGAATCCTTCTTGCCACTATCACTGCTTTGGTCACTTTCCGCAGTAGATTCCTCCTCATCCTCCCCATCATCATCATCATCATTTATGAAATCGGACATTCCACTGTCATCTGAGTCATATCCACCTTCTCCACGACTCACATAAGAAGAACGCCTACAAAAGAATATTCTATTGTTATTTCATATTGAGGGCTGTTAACCCTTCACTCCAAAAAGTGATTAACATGCAACCTCTCCAATAATATCCGTATATTATCCAGAAAACAGGTGATGAGAATATCTAAACTTATCAAGAAGAACTTATTTTCTTGATCTAAAACCAAATTTAACTTATTTACAAGGGAAATGTGTAACAGCTGGAGGGAAGAATTAGCAATTTCAGATATTAGGAGCTTAAAGGTGTTTTACGTATGTGTGGTTATTAACACACAAAATTTTAAGGGATCTAAAAAATGTTATGCCTAGGGAAAGAGGGACATTTCATGGCAAATACATAAAAGCTAGAAGTTCTGAGACTTCTAATCATTATATACAATAATATATAAGCAACATATCCCCCCATCACCCACCCACCCCACCCCCTCGCAAACAAAATTGAAGCTACGTCACATCATCTTGTGAAATTACAAATAACACTATCAGGTTCGATCAAACTTACTCTCTGAGGAAATTGTTCACCAGTTTTCTAGGCTTCAACACCTTTATTTTCTCCTGACTCCTGAGTCTCTTTCCTTTCGGTGACATTGATTTCAGTACTTCTTTTCTGCTTGGTAAAGAGAACGTCAATGATGATTTCTTTCGCAGCCGCTCTGAGCTACGCGGCGTCTGCGAGCTGGAAGGGGTCGCGTTCAATTCGCTACTACGCATTCCTTCTTCACATGTTTCCTTGTGTGCACTGTTTATCCGTTTACTTGGTGATCTTTCCTTCCTTTCGCCTTCTTCTGAGTCAGAAGATAGAAGCGATCTTTTCGTGTGACAACGCTTTTTGGTCGACAGACTGAGTGGCAATTCACCATCTTCTTCACTAGATGTTCCCATTATTATTGACACGGACGGTTAGAATAAACAGATCGTCCCCAGCACAGCTGTAACCTTTAAAATAAATAAACATTTACCTCAAATCCGCTCCCATGGAGAAGTAAGAGAAAAAAGTATCGAGCAAGAAACATGTGCTTCGTGAAATTAACTCACCGTGAAAATGTCACGAACTGTGCAGATGAAAACAAATATGGCGATGGAAATTATATCCGTGTAATGCTGGGCGACAGTCTAAAAGTACAGTTGAGTTGGGTTATTATCCCTAATTTAAACGAGGAAAACCGAAGCACTTTGACTTGAAACGAAATATAAGGCTTTCCGTATTTTGAAATTAAGGGAAATGAAACGATAGGCAATCAGACATCATGTTATTCACTTCCTTTTTCCCCGCGCTTTTTGTTTCAACTATTTAGTTTCCAGGAGAAAACGGCCAAGATCTCATAAGTTACTTTGTTTAACCTTGTACGATGTGTCCTTCTCTTGGAAAGGAAATCCTTGGGTGATCGAGACTCGCAATCAAAATTTCCCAAAACTAACGAGCAGTGATGCAAACATGGATTAAGTCCAATTTTCTTTGGTTGAAAATTAATTTGCAACCAAAGATAGTATAACTCGAATAAAAGACTTCTGTATCTGAAGGTGTACCACTCACTCAGACTTACATGTCGTGACTTTCCGCAGTCACGTGTAAGGCCGTGGAAACACATCCTTTCTAAGTAATTGAGCTAATTATAAAACTGAAAGTGCTTTGAGTGCATTTTGCGTCTAAGTCAGTTGCGCACTGTTAAACTTTCAAAGTTATAGACA